CTAGCAGGTTGTGGGAGGTGGAACCGAATCACGGGGAAGGTGTGAGCTTCCTTCTGGCTCCGGCTTAGGTAGATGGGTCGTTCCCGTGTCATCATCCAGGCCTTTGTTCTGCCATCACTGTCTGGGCTTCTGGGCCTAATGGGTTTAGGGCTCTAGCCAATGATGTAATGAGGCTCTTAGGAGCCCTGGAGCAGCAGGTCAGAACCTGGGCTGTTCCCCCTGATTTTTGTGCCAAAATAGCGTCTCAGATCCAGACAAGACTCAAGAGAAATAACAATATTAGTTGCCATTGGTTGAGCATTTTTATGTACCAGGCACTGTGCTAAGTGCTTTAAATACAATGTCTAATCTCATTTAATCCTCAAAACAAACAAATACGAAAACCATAACAACAACACAGTGGTAGGAACTACTATTATTCTCATCTGCAAATGAGGACGCCTCAGCCCAGGTTTCTGGAGCGCTTGTCTGGGGTCGTCCAGCCAGCAGAGGCTGGACTGAGATTGGGACCCTGTCTGGCTTCACAGGCTGCCCCCAAACCACTGTGAGTCCTGCCTCCTGAGTCATCTTTGAAGGAGGAGAGAAAATGCAAGTGTCTCTCCGTGTCTGAATGCTTTCTTTAGTCCTTTTTTTTCCTAACAGGAAAGACTGAAGAAAAAAAAAAACCCAAAAGCTTCCCAGAAGTGTGTTGTGTCTCTCTCCTGGCCCTCTGTCCCCACCCCCAGGATGGAGATAAGGACACTTTTGTCTGAACGCAGGGAGTGCTCATTTCTGTTGGGAACCATCCAGCTCTCTTCCTCATTTAGAAATTGGTGAAGATTTCCTTTCAGCTCTTTGGAAGCGGGGTCTGTCCAGCTGTCTCTCCTGTTTTGGCCGGTAGCTACGAGGAGGGTGAGGGGCTCGGAGATGAGTCCAGGATTTGAGAGCCCAGGACAGTCTGGCTTCGCTGGCAGATTCCCCTGCACACACACACGCACACACACACCCCTCTTCCCCTGGGACAAGACGTTGTCAGGAGCCTGAGCGCGTCTCCGGGCCCGTTGCCTGTCCTGGTCTTTCAGACTCGGGACCACCTGCTTGGTTGGCCATGAGTGCTTCCTTGGCGGGGACACTCAGCTGTGTTCCCTGTTCTGCCCTAGACAGAGAGGTGCAGTTAGTGGGCCCTGCACCCGGGCCGGCTGACACCCCTAGCCGAGGCGGGGGAGAAAGGGGAGCTGAAGGAGTCCCTTGCTGTGGGGAGGGAGTGGGACGCTTCCCTCCTCTTCCCTGTGCCCAGCGCCCTTCCCCCAAGCACATTTCTGAGAAGTGGCCTCTTTGTCTCTGCCTGGTTGGAACTTGTCCCTCACCTGGGGGCCAGCTTCTGCCCTCCCCTCCAGAGCGAGAAGGGCAACATCATCAAGAACCCAGACGTCGCACGGCATGCGTTTTGAAGCCCTGGCTCCTCTGAAGGACAGCGCCTGGGCCTGCAGGAGCAAGTGGTCGAGCATCTCACATGGCCTGGGGCCAGCGCCGCGCTGGGGCTGGGGGCTGCGAGCCCTCCAGAGGCTGCGTGAGGTCCAGGGCTGGCCAAAGCCTGACTGGTCTTGCCAAGAAGACCTGACTGGGGTGGGTGCTGCCTCCCCGGACGTGTGGAGGGGCTGGGGACGCAGCTGTCTGCTTCCAGCGTCTGCGTGCAGGGCGAAGCGGGAGGCGGCCGGCAGCGTCGCCGCTGCTCCCAGCTCGGGCCCCGTGGGAGGCGTGCTGCGACGGCTGCGCTTCAGCACCTTGCGGCTGGGGTGCTGCCAGTTCCCGAGGGGCGGAGGCCGTGCAGGAAGATTTCCTTTTTTGTCTCTCACGCCCGGGGTGTCAGTTCCGTAGCCCTGCAGTAGACGGCAGACGGGGCGCTAAGGAGTGTGAGGCGTGCAGGGAGAAGGAACGTGCACTCCAGAGAGTCGGGGGGGGGGGTGGGGGCAGAGATCCACTGTGTGTCTGCGGGTGGAAAAGTCCTCCTGCTTCACTTTGGGGCGGCCGAGGGCTGGGTCAGGAAGCCCCTGAGCCGGTTTAATGTGCCAGCAGAGACCTGGAGTTGGTGCTGGTCAGACCCGAGTTCAGATCCCCGCCCCGCTGCCATCTAGCAATGGCTAACGTTCACTGGAGGTGCTGCTGAGGGCTCTCCGGGCGCAATCTGATTGAAGGCTCCCAGAACCATGTGAAGCAGGTGCCAGTTTCATGCCTGTGTACTAGGTTTGCTGAGTTTCTGGGAGATGGAGCCGCTTGCCAAGGCCACACTGTCAATCAAGAGACAGTGGAGTCTCACGCTCGGGGCGGTTGGAGCCTGCAGTCTCCACTCTGAACCACTGCTTTTCAGTTAAAACAGTGACTTATAGTCTCTCACTTCCTGGCTGTGTGGCCTTGGGAAAGTCACCTAACTTCTCCCATCCTTAGTGTTCTGCGTCCAGGAAATGGGGAGGTGAATGCTGTTCTCCTGGATTCTTGTGGGAATTAAACAAGAGAATGTTTGTAAAGCTTTCAGCCAGTGCCTGGCCTATAGGAATATCATCATTTACTTGGTCAACAACAATTTATTGAGTACCTGTTACGTGCCAGGTTCCATTCCAGGTGTACAAGCTAGAAAAGGTCCCAGCTCCACCAAAGGGAATAAGCAAATAAGCTTGATAACTTCACGTCGTGATGTGTTATGAAGAAAACAAAGTGGCGTACTGGCAGTGACTGTAGAAACGTAAAGGTCCATTTTAGCTGAGTGGTCAAGGAAGGGCTCCTTGAAGAGGCGGTCATTAATTCCCAAAGGAAGGAGATGTGGAGGAAGGCGAGCCTTCTAGGTTAGAGGACAGCGAGTGCATGGCCTGGAGTTGGGAACAGAAAGGTCAGTGTGGCTGGAGCAGCGGGAGCAAGCAGATGAGTGGTGTTGGAGACAAGGCTGAGGGTGGGTCTGGGCGGTCAGTGAGGCAGGGCTGTGCCTGTTGTAAGAAGGTGTTTGCAGAGTGGACAGTCTTTGGAGGGTTTGAATCAAGAGAGTAATGTGATTTAATTAATTTATTTAAAAGGCAGCTTTGTTTGCTGTCTGGAGAACTGAATGTTGGGGGACAAGGATGGATGTGAGGAGGTCAGAGAGGAGGCTGGGATTGCAGAGAGATGGTGGAGGCCAAGGAGGAGGCTGGGGTTGCAGAGAGAGATGGTGGAGGCCAAGGAGGAGGCTAGGGTTGCAGACAGAGATGGTGGAGGCCAAGGAGGAGGCTGGGGTTGCAGAGAGAGATGGTGGAGGCCCAGGAGGAGGCTGGGGTTGCAGAGAGAGATGGTGGAGGCCAAGGAGGAGGTTGAGATTGCAGAGAGAGATGGTGGAGGCCAAGGAGGAGGCTGGGGTTGCAGAGAGAGATGGTGGAGGCCAAGGAGGAGGCTGGGGTGGCAGAGAGAGATGGTGGAGGCCAAGGAGGAGGCTGGGGTTGCAGACAGAGATGGAGGAGGCCAAGGAGGAGGCTGGGATTACAGAGAGAGATGGTGGAAGCTGGGCTTAGACAAGAGCCCCAAATGGAAAATGGTAGATGATGATTCCCATTGGTGGAGCAGGGCAGCAGCAATAAAAATTGTAGCAAAGAGATGAATTGTGCAAGCTGGCGTTAGTAAGAAGCCTCAGACCTCATTTGCCAAAAGCAGCACTTGGGCTCTTTTCCTAACACTGAGGAGGTGTCACTGTCATTGTAGTATCAGTGTCCACTGATGTTAACGTTTTTCTTTTTAGCAATGGAATTTTATACTTTTGGGGGGTGGTTGTTGAATATAACTGTATATCCAGAGTTTATGATGTCAAACTGGATTTCTATATAGAACAAGTGAAGATAAGTTTTTCTGTAAAGGGGCAGATAGTAAGTGTTTTCGTTTTCGTAGGCCCTAGTGTCTCTTGTCACAACAACTCAACTTTGCTATTATAGCTCGAAAGCAACCGTAGCCAATGCGGAAAAGAATGGGCGCGACTGTTGCAATAAAGCTTTCTTTGAAAAAACAGGCAGTGGGCAAGATTGGGCCCAGGATTAGTTTATCAACTCTGGTAGGAAATATAATTTATTTACATGACCAGATAATTTTTTTTCCCCCACTTCAAAATGTTTCCCCCAAACGCTGTTGTAAAGCGAGGGTGCCTCTTACACACCTGTGCCCGTCTTAACACTGGAAGGTGAGATTCAGCGGCCACGCAGCCCCATGGCCTTCAGCTCTGAGGGTCCCCAGCGGTCCCTTGGGCCGAGGTGCAGGTGAGGGCGGAGGGCTTGACTCTGCTTCTGCTTCAGCCAGGAGTCCCTCCCGAACCCATGCTTTTTTAATTGGTGGTCTTCAAAAGAGTTTATTTGAAGAAGGGTTGGGAGCCAGAAAAAAGTGAGAGATCTAATCCAGTCTGAGTGGTCGGAGCTTGTGTACCCCTTCCAGTGCCCGGCGGTGGAGAGGCATTTGTTACATAATTGCTCATAGAACAAATTAACACATCCGTCTTCTCACTGGATGGGGGCGGTCAGCAAAGAGTTGCTTTGGGGTTATGTTTGTGGGGTAGAGACCAGAGGGTCTTGTGCAGGCTTCGCCTCCAGGTAAAGGCCACAGTGTCCCATGGAGCAGAGCGGTGGGGGGGTCTGCTTTCTGAGGCTTTTGGGTGGGGGCAGCAGGCTGCACTGGGCAGTCTTGGAGGGCGGGATGGTGGCGTGGCTCCGAGTTTATATTCAGACACAGGTTTGAATCTCTCTCTGTCACTGAGTAGCTAGACAACTTATTCACTCAACTCTCGGGCTGTCCGTTTTCCCAGCTGGAGACTGGAATGATGGCATGCCCCTCCCCAAGCTGTTGGGTTCAGTAAGTGAATTAACCTACGCAGGTCGCCTCGCACACTGCCAGGCGCTGGGGAAGCGGTTCTGTTCTCAAGGGTGTGGGATGAGCTCTAAGGCTCTTTGGGACCTTCTACCTTCTCTTTCCTCTTGACTCCAATGTCTGCACCCCAATCTTCTCTTCTCTTCTCTTCTCAGGATGTGGCCAGGTTCTGCGAGCCCCGAAGGGTCAGATTTTGTTGGAGAGCTACCCCCTGAATGCTCACTGCGAATGGACCATTCACGCCAAACCTGGGTTTATCATCCAGCTAAGGTGAGGGGCTGGGGTCAGAATTAGGGAGTGTGGGGTTACAAGGAAGTGCAGGAACGCGACTGAGGGCCTGATCCTGGTGCCCAAGGGCTAACCATCAGCACTGTGTTCTTAAAAGCAGGAAAGGCACCTCGGAGCCTTTCTCTTGGCCTCTCTGATTCCGTGGGATAAGGCCCGCTCGGAAATGCAGTCAGTCCAGTGCTCCAGTCATGGCCCCAGAGCAGGGCGGCTCAGACGATTCTGACCCGAGGATCACAGCAGCAAAACAAAATTCCGAGAGCCGTCTCGGGCCCACAAGCCTTCACCGAGTCCAGCACGCAGTGTGGGGCTGGGTTCTGTGGGGGGATGTGAGGGAAGAAAAGGCACAGGCCTAACCTTCAAGGAGTTTACACTCTAGACTGGAGTTTCTGCCGTCAGCTCCTTTCACTGACGTTCTCAGAGAACGAGCACCATCCCCACAACAAATAAACCAGTTCTCTCACTTGGTGGAACACGGCTGTTTTTCCTTAGGCAGCTTTGTTTAATTTAGCAAATGTTAACAAATATTTAGTTTACACCATAGTCCGAAGTATAGACCTAGTTTTACTGTAACTGGAAAAATAACACGAGAGGGTCCTGTTCTGTGAGGACCGTCCATGGCTGCATGCTAGTGTCTGGAGCAGCACACGGGGCGTGGCATAGACACTTGACAGATACTTGTTGCGTGAATAAACGTTGAAAGAGCTCTTTCCTACCTCTGGCACATCTCCTCTCTCCTCGCAGACACCTCTCCTTTTCTCTCTAGGGAAACAGTGGCTCGTGCACCCCTGGGATCTCTAGGGACGTTGTCCACTTAGCTCTTCCCTTTTCTAACCACCAGGAGTTGGCGGTACTGGAAATCTCTAGTCTTCGAGGGCACAAGCTTTTAATAAGTATTTTCTGGAAAGATCAATGCACCTAGAGGTTGCCACACACCAGCTAGCTCCTGGAATGGCTCTCTGTCCTCCAGGGGGGCCAACACAGTGCCCCACATTGGAAGGACCCAGCAAAACAGGTGCCCTTGTCAAACCTCCTCGTCAAAACTGGTACTTGGTTGCTGGTCTCCCCACTCCCTGGGGCCCTGGGGGCGGGAGTGAGGCTCATTAATTGGGGGTTCCTACAGCAAGGTTAGCTCAAGGAGCAAGGGCGGGCACCACACTGTTCTGTTTAATGGGCTCCAGGCTGGGTCTGCCAGCGACGAGAAGGGCGGGCGTTAAATGCTGCCTGTTAATATTTCAGCAGCTCAGGGACCAGGGCAAACGGCTGCTTCAGGGGCCTTTGAAGAGCTTCTCCAAGATCCAGGATGCAAAGGAAATCCCCACAAAACCAAAATCTAAAACGGCAGCAGGATTGAGAAGCATATCACCTGCCCAGGGGAGGGCCCCGGGGAGGCTGGGAAAGATGCTGATTTCTTTCCCTCTAATCAAACCTGCCCCTGCTGGCCGGGGATACTGGTATGGGGACGCTCTGAAGCATACGTATGATGTTCAGCCCACAAACTGAGCGGTCATCCCTGGTGCCCTGCTTTCCGTCACCTCCCTCAGCCAGGTGACCACAAAGTCTCTTTTCTCACCCGTAAAATAATCTCAAGTCCACGCACATCCATCTCCACTGCCGCCATCCCCCGGATGCTCTCTTGGCATCCTGCTGGCTTCCCTGCTTCCCCTCTTGCCAGCTCTGCTATCTCCTCTCCTCAGAGCGGCTAGAGTGATCCAGTAACATCCTAAGTCAGATCGTTATTCTGTTGTTGAAATCTTCCAGTAGCTTCCTGTCAGGCTTGGAGTAAAATCCAAACTCCTGGCCATGCAGAATCTGGCTCCCGGTCTCCTCACTGGCCTCGGTTCATACCGTTCTCCCCTTCACCTACCACCTTACAGTGTCTCTGATGTTCCCTCTGCTCCTCAGATATGCCAAGCTCATTTCTGCCTCAGGGCCTTTGCACTTACAGATTCCCCTGCCCAGACCGCTCTTCCCCAGGACTTTCACATGGCTGGCTCCCTTTCATCATTGGGGTGTCTGCCCCGATGTCCACAGAGAGGTCTTCCCTGACCATCTTGTATAAAAAGCTTATCCTCCCATCACTCTTTGTGCTCTGACTTGGTTCATTTTCCTCACAGCATTGAATACTCTCTGAAATCACCCTGTTTTCTGGTCTCCCTGCTTATTGTCTGTCCTTCAGAGGTCATCTCCGTGAGGGCAGGCACTGGGTCCCGTTGGGCCACTCTGCACTTTCCGCACCTCGAACAGCATCTGACACAGAGCCGCGGGCCACGAACGTCTGTCGAATAAGTGAACGAATGTGTCAACGTAAATACGAGTTGCACCGTCTCGTATTTCAGTTTCAGGAAGAGCTGTGATCTCTGTTGGGTGGTCGCCTTGTCCCCTCTCCTCTCCTTTCAGGCAGAGACACCCAAGCCCAGAGAAGGCAGCGACTTCCCAAGGCCCAGGGTGAGTCAGCGCATCGCCTGGGGAGAAGTCAGGTCCTTGGAGGTTAGGGCTGCTGCACAGAGTGATGGGTCGCACTCACCCTCCCTTACGAGAGGTTTTATGATCCGAATTTCTGTAAAATAAGCTGTGGCCGTATCAGTTATCAGGGTTCCTTTCAGTATGAGCTGTGAGAGCGTGCGGCGTGTGCTGGCCGCCCCTGCGCCCCAGGGCTCTGTAATTCGGGCGCCTGAGGTCGCTGTGCAGGGCGGTAAAAACAGCCTACTGCCGCTGTGCTCGCGGCTGTTCTGAGCTTTTCTGTCCTTCCTACTTCTTCTCCAAAATGCGAAGGAGAAGGGACAGGGGCCCGCTCGTGAACTCGACGCCCGGGTGTCCCTGGAATCTCCTGAGAAATGCTGTTTCCTCCCCTGCCTGGGGCGCGGCCACCTCGCTTCTCGTCTCTGTGCATTGGGAGCTGGGAGTCGTCTTCTGCTTTTTTGAGCTGAGCTTTCCCAGTATTTCCAAATCCAGACCCCTTTTGGGTAATCACAGATTTATCAGAAATCCCTCAGTTCTGAAATTCTGATATGGTGCTACTTTTTCTACTCTGTGGGGCAAGAATTATTGTTACCAAGACGGTAATTACCTTCTGATCCTCGGGTCAAACAGAGGAGTGTGCAGCGTTTTTCCTAGTTAGCATTGCAAGACAATGTCAGCTTGTTCATTCTGCAGTTGTAAAATTACAATATGGTAGCCACTCAGTCATCTGATCAACAGCATTTGCTTAGCAGCTGCATACGCCAGGCACTGCGTTAGGCTCTGTGCAGCGTCGGTGGAAGGAGACAGACGTTCTGCCCTACCCTCGAGGAACTCGCAGTCTGGTGGAGAGAGAGGCGTGCATGCACACGTGCACACACACTCACAAAGTCAAGGAAATAATATGGGAAATTAAAATTTGTGTAGACGTCATGAAGAAAACAAGGGGTCTCCTTGAGAAGGAGTTGTCAAGGAAGCTTCTTTGAGGAGAGAATATTTAAGCTGAGGACTGAGGACGGGGAGGAAGCAGCCATGCGGACTGGGAGGAAAGGTACCCCTGGAGGAGGCGCTGGCACGTGCAAAGATCCCGTGCTTGGAATATGGCAGCCCCTCCCCGGGCACTGACGTACGTGCAGACGCACGTGGTGTGAGTATACACACCTCCCCCATGGAAGGAAATTCATCTGCCCTCAAGCCCTCCAGGGCTGTTTCCTATAGATCCGGCCGATGGCACCGCGCTTCCAGAGACCTGTTCATCATCTGGGCACCGCGCTTCCAGAGACCTGTTCATCATCTGGGCTTGAGCTCGCCCAGGGCTCCCAGGACTGTCCAGGGCTCACCTGCTCCCTGCTGTCACCCTCTCCCCCCACAGGTTTGTCATGCTGAGCCTGGAGTTTGACTACATGTGCCAGTATGACTATGTTGAGGTCCGTGACGGGGATGACAGCGACGGCCAGATCATCAAGCGTTTCTGTGGCAACGAGCGGCCAGCCCCCATCCGAAGCTCGGGATCCTCGCTCCACATCCTGTTCCATTCAGATGGCTCCAAGAATTTCGACGGCTTCCATGCCATTTTTGAGGAGGTCACAGGTAAGGCCGTGGAGGCAACTGAAGCATTTTATGGCATTGCTCCAGACAAGCATCTCTTCTCTGTGTACCCCCTTCTCCCCACTCAGCTTTATTAAAAGCCAGCATGCCGGGTTCTCAGAAGCAACCTGCGTGTTGAGAAGGAAGGGGGAAATGGCGCAGTATGGTCCAGAATTGCTCACCAGAACCAGAACTAGGAATTATGGTCTCCCTTGTACAGATGCCAGAGCACAGAGAGGCTGGGTGATTTGTCCCAGGTCACATAACTGTGGAGGTGGAACCAGGAATTTGTACAGTTTGGCTGTAGCGCTCACGCTAGGGGCCTCTCCTGGTTAAGGGCATTAGCTTTGGACCCCTGGCAGATTAAGCTGTGTGACCTTGGGCGAGTTCTTCTACTTCTCTGGGCCTCGATTTCCTTATCAGTGAGAAGGGGCCTAAGCATGGATCCTGCTCCTTCAGGAGGCTCTGGGCCACAGAGCAGATGGAGACCTCAGCACAGCACCAGGTACGCGGGAAGCACTCATAGCTGCCCTACCCAGGCCTGTCTGAGCCCCCCTTTGTCATCTGTGAAAGAGGTATGAAAAGTCTTAAACCACAATGGCAAACGCCGCTTGCTTTATGAGCAACTCTAAGCCTGACTTTAACTCCTGCCCTGTTCACGTTGGAAGTAAGATTTGGCCAAAATGAACAAAATGCGCAATTTAAGAAATTACCCCAGCTCTCACTGCTCTGAGATTGGGTGAACTGTGTCAGGTTTTACAGAATAAACTCAGGCTTGAAGCTCTAGTTGTTTTTAATGCTGCACTTAAAAAGTTTGTAATGGAGGCCAGCCCAGTGGCATAGTGGTTAAGTTTGCACACTCTGCTTCAGCAGCCTGGGGTTCATGGATTGGGATCCTGAGTGCAGACCTACACACCACTCATCAGGCCATGCTGTGGTGGCATCCCACATACAAGATAGAGTAAGATGGGTACAGATGTTGGCTTGGGGCCAATCTTCGTCAGCCAAAAAAAAAAAAAGAGAAAAAGATTGTACTGACATTTTGATGATTAAAGCTTCTTTCTGGAAGGTATGACACTGAAGTCTCAGGAGACGAGGTGGTGGTGTTGGAATCAGCCTTTCTTCAGCCCTGTCCTTTGAGCAAGTCCAGCAGACCCCGCCTCCAACCTCCCCTTCCCTTAGAATGTTCCCACATGAGCTCTCAGCAGTTGCTCCTTCTAGTCTGTGTGCCTCCCTCCTTCCCAGGACATCCCCTGGGAGCTGTGCAGGGCCTGAGTGTGGCCTGGGAGTTCTAGATGCTTTGCTGCTGTGGGGGGTTGGCCTGTGGATGAATCCTTGCCCCTTGGTGATACCTGCCAGCTGAGGCTGAGCAGGTGACACTCAAGACACGTCCGTGGGTGTTTCCTGCAGGCAGCAAGAGCTGGCTGTCAGGGAAGCCAGTGGGGGTGGCAGCGGCTCGCCGGCTTGTGCCTGGCGAGTGGTCAGGAGGCCTCTTCCTCCCCTGAAGCACTCCTCAGCCTCCCCTGGAGAACTCTGGGAAACTCTGGGCTGCGTCGTCCAAGGGTCAGACGTAGCACTTCCCGTTCCTTAGACACCTCGAGTGTCCCCTTGTACTCAGTTCTTCCCTCCGGCTAGAGTCTCCTCCTGCTTGCACGTCGGATCCCGTCCTTCTGGGCCCTGTCAGATCCCTGCTCCTTTGCGGAACCTTTTCTCTTTTCTCTGTTCCAACGGGCTGTGGCTTTGCCCTTTTTTGAACATCTTATCCCGCTTCCTCCTCTTTTCTGACATGAACTGTATTACACTTTAGGTTATAGTCATTGTGCACTTTTCTTCAAAAAGCTTTGATCTGGTGAGTAGGGTCTCCTGGTCAGCTTTGTGTCTCTCCGGTGCCTCACGCAGGGCAAGTGCTCAACACAGGCTTGTCGAAGTGGGCCGAGCGATCTGGTTCTATACCGGGGTACGTGAAAGGAGGGTTGGTGGGCAGCAAGTCGACCAGTGCTTCCCGAAGTGTTTTCTGTAGAAAAATGGTGCCCAGGATGCTCTGTAGTGCAGCTTCTGAGGTCAGATAAGCTTGTGGAAAGTGGAATGTTATGTGCTTTCTTAAAAATTTGCAGTGCCCACTAGGCTATAACGTTCTGGGAAGTTCTGCAGTAAAGAAATCCGCCTAATTATCATTTGACACCGATAGCATTTCCCCAGCACGTTCGAGCCCAGAACCCTTTCTTAGTTAAACACATCAACATCTCAAGGACGGATGTTGACAGGATGTGTGTTTGGAACTTCTTGAGTACACTTTCCACAGTGTCGTGAAGATCGTCTCCCAGTTCCATCGCTCCGTCCCCAGCACGCTGGGCTTCCTTGAAAGAGTCCCCGGGGGAGGCGAGAGCCGCTTCTCCTCCAGTCGTGGGCCTCAGGCTCTTCAGGCCAGAGGTGTCTGGAAAATACGTCTTCGAATACAATCGAAAACATCGAATAAAATCACCAACATCTGACATTTAATGAATACCTATTTTAGGCATTCTCAAACAATGGTAACAGGAATTCAATCAAAGGAGCGAAAAAGTCATGAGAAAACTTTAAAAGACAAGAGAAAGACTCTGGTCGAGACTCCAGGCTTGAAGAAATCGAGTCACCACGCAGTGGCACTGAGAGAATTCTGCCTTTTCTCTTGCAGCATGTTCCTCGTCGCCTTGTTTCCATGACGGCACTTGCCTCCTTGACAGAACCGGATCTTACAAGTGCGCCTGCCTGGCAGGCTACACCGGGCAGCACTGTGAAAATCGTGAGTATGCCTCCAGGGTGGGAGTTAAGGTGTCAGTGGGGCTGCCATGAAGAGGGCTTTGAGAACTCCCTGGGTATGCCGTTTCTTGGTGTCTAGGGTGGTCTGTGCAAGATGGCGCATAATGTGGACACTCCCGTTGAGCGGACCCCAGAAAGGTTGGGCTGCCTGCATCAGGATGTCAGGAACAACTCAGGTTTGCCCACTGACATTTCCACCCATTACCTGCTGCAAATCCCTCTCTAAAAGATATGTCTTCAGTGGCCCAAATAATCGTCGGAGCCCAAAACCTTGATAAAGGGTCAACAGTAGAAAGTCACTATCATACATTGTCGTGTGGCTCAGAGTCTGAACTCCCTCTCCCTCCCAAGATCTGAATTTGGACTTATGCTCCTGGGCACCATTCCTAGACTCCAATGGGTTACTGCACAGTCTGAAGCCCTGAATTGAGGGTGTGAACATATAGGATGACCATGAGCCCCAGTTCCCAGGGACATCCCAGTTTATGCCTTTTGTCTGAGCAAAATTATCAGTAACACTCTCTTTCATGCTCAAAAGTGTCCTGAATCGGATGACAAATTACATGATCACCCTGTAAACGTGGGGTCAGGTTAGCTGAGTCACAGACACACCGACCAACATTTATTGAGGGGCTGCTGTGTGTTGGGTTCTGTGGAAATGCAGTCTTTCCCTGAAGGAGCTTCTCCTGAGTTAGAGAGGTAAGATCCATGCCTCTGTGATGGTTCTGGAGCAGGCCTGCCATGAGATGGGGCTGCGGGAGGGGGTGCAGAGCAGAGGAGTCATAGAGGAAAGAAATCTTTCCCACTGTGGAGCTCCGTGGCCATCGTTCTCTACATCAGCTCTCCTTCTGCTGTCACCACTTAAGTCCCCCCACCTCCTGCCTGAGCTGTATCCTGGCTGTCTCAGTGAGTCACCCAAGTTCTCCAGTTCTTGCAGACAGAAGTCAAAAGCAGAACAGTAGTAGCCCTCAGTAACCTGGGGTCAACCAAACAGCAGAAATAAGAGGAAACCCGCTCAAGGAAGTGACTCCCTCCAAGGCCGCTGGGCTTTCTCGTTCACGTTCCTGAAGGGCAGGACATGACTCTTCTCTGATATTAGATTCAAACTGGCCAGAGAAGGAGAGAAACTAAAACCTGCTGAGCCCAAACATGTGTGTGACAGGGCAAACCCTTTGTCCTTGGGAAGAGTGCATGCCAACTGTCATATAAGGTGCAGCCATATGCACTGGCCACTGGCAAAGAGGAGCTCAGACTCTATGACCAGAAATCACGTCTCAAGGGTCTCTGGTAACCAAGACCCTGTGGAGGGCACGTGTCCTAACAGAAGTTTGAAACCTAAAACAGGTGTCCCGGACTGCAGCTATCAGCGCAGATGAGATGCGCAGAACAAGAAGCATCAAAATTGGAGGGAAAGCAAAGGAGGACAGATAATGGCCTAGACAGGGTTCCCCCAAAGCAGATGTGGAGAGGCGAACGTGTGTGCAGCTGATGTGTTAGGACGTGCTCCCAGGAGAAGCTGGTAGGGGAGGGGGGAAGCTGGGCGGGGAAGGGAAGGAAGCCAAACAGAGGCATGATTTCGGACAAAATCCAGCCTCCGTGTCAACCAGCCGTGAGATCTGGAATGTAAACTACAGCTCAGAGTGTGTCCTGGCTTTAAAGCAAGGAGGGTGGGCTTTCCTTCCCACCGCAGTCAGTGATTGCCTGAGGTCTGCCCCGGGCAAGAGGGAGAACACGCCAGTCCTTCTGTGCTTGTGGGCTGGGTGGTTTCAGCAGCCATAGAGCAGTCAGATGGCAGGTGCAGGCCTTGGAAGAGGAGCAGTGCAGACTGGGCGGGAGTGTGGGTGAGGAAAGGGCCACAGAAACAGAACTACCCAAGGGCAGAGCACCAGCATGTCTGCCCCAGTCTCTTCTAACCAGCATGCACAGGTACTTTGGGGCCGTCCTGTAAGGGGCCTGGTCTAACAGCATTCTATAAAGTTCATACGTTTTTCAATTAATTTCATGAATTTCCCTTGCACACAATGCAGACAGAAGCCGTGGTTTCGGTAGTGTGTCCTGAGTGTGCCATGGCCTTCCATTGAAAGCACCCCTCGCTTTGGCTTGGCGCCGCGGACCTGACTATGGTCCTGTCGGATCCTAGGAAAAGATGTTCTGCCACGTGGCTGCTGCCTCGTTTGAGCCTGCTGTGTTGTGTGCACGACAGAGAAATGTTGCTTTCTTTTTGTTTCAAGAATTTGTATGTAGAATGATTCTGGAGTCTTGACAATGGCAAATCCTAAGCTTTACCCTTTAGATTTAGGGGAGGAACAGAAGAAGGGAAGGCTTAGTTTCTTGGTGAACTGCCTGCACAATATTAGGGCTTGGATAAACAGAGGTAAAATCGGAGAGAAGTAAAACACCAGCAAATGAGCCAAAATGCCTTTAAGAGGCTGGGTCAAATCAGGGGTAAAAAAAGAAATTGGTCCGTAAAGAAGAGATTGTGACTAAAATATTTATGAGTAGCTTATGAGCCCAACTTGACTTCTCAGCATTGTTCTTCTATCCAGAAACCAAACCAAACCAAACAAATAAACGTGGTGGAAAAGAATGTAAACTATGTCATTATGAACTGATTCGTAAGTTGATTCATAGACTGTCTCCAATTACTTCTGGTCTCAAAACACCCGCAGAGAGGGACAAGGCACTTGTTCCCCGCCACTTTTCAAAGTGCCGTTTAAAAACCATAATTCCCTTAGTAGCTTGTAGTTGTAACTGGGTGAAGAAGATGTTGGTGTTGGATATCTGATGTGTCATTTGCTGGCATCCATGTGGGGGACCAAATGTTTTATTATTTTCTATAAGATTGAGGTTTGTTGTTCCCGCTAGGAAATTCAGCATGAATTCCAATTAACTCAACGAGGGAGCATCACAAAAATTGGCTGTGGCAGTTTTCCTTGTAATTTCTAAACAAACCATAACCATTTCTCCAGAGAAGGCTATCATCTAGGAAAACAAAAAAGGAAAAAAACCAAGCTTTACTTTATTGTTTTTCTCACGAGTATATCTATGAATTGAAAAAATCTCCCTGGAGGAAAGTCAAAGTTAACAAGAAACCCATGCATTCTGGGATTCTCAAAACTCTGAAATGCCCAAATTGGACTAGGCATTTGTTTAAAAAAAAAGCTTTAAAAGAACCAAATCAGAGATGAATGAGAATTCCGTCTTTATTTATATCGTACCAAATCCGATAAGTGGGGCCACTTCGAGGATGTGGCTTTCAAGCCGTGTCCTCCAAGGCCTCTGTGGAAAGGCAGATGCTCCTTTCAGCAGACGAAGGATTTGAAGCAGAGGGTGCAAGACACTGGTCCCCAACAAATTCAGGACTAGAGGCTAGAATTCCAGCCTTCCCCCATGTCCGCCATCTCTCACACGCGGTTCTCGCCACATGGCGTGGTGGGGCTCCGGATGGTCGATTGATAAGGTCTGGTTAGACCATCGTGTCTCCTGGGGAGTTCTCTCAAGGGACTTCCCTTCCCAGGTAAGGCCCGCCGGTCACTCTTTCCTAAAGAGAATCCTGATCGACTGTTTCTTGATATAAACTATTCTTTTTATTTTCTTTGTGTCTGTGAGTGGAAGTGGAGTAGAAATAGATTTCTTCTTGCTTACAGAAGAAATGTAAAAATGAACAGTACAGAGATATATAGAATAATATCTAAGTGTTTTTCCTGACCAATCTTGGTTCCCAGTGGAACCACTGTTAACAACTTAGTGAATATTCTTCCAGACTTTTCTTTATGGTGTGCAACCCTAAGTTGTCTGTGTATCATTATTTTGAACCGGTGGCTCTTAACTGGGGGCGATTTTGTCCCCCACTTCCTCCCTCAGGGGACTTCTGGCAGTGTTTAGAAGCATGGTTGATTGTCATACTTGTAGGGGAGGGCGCTCCTGGCATCTAGTGGGTGGAGGCCGGGGATGCGCCTCAGCACCCTGCAGGGCACAGGGCAGGCCCACAGCAGACTTATCAGGTCCAAATGTCATCATGCCAAGGCTGAGAAGGCTATTTTAAACAAAAATGGATTAAAGTGTACATACAAGTTTTCATCACCCACATTCTGGATGTTTTCTCCGTGTTCTTCAGTCCGTGTTGGTTGGTCTCATTTGAAGCAGCGATTGCTGAGTACTCCATTATAGGGAAGGATGTCAATCATGTCTTCTTCCGGTCCCTTCCGATGCCCTTGACCTTCTGTTTCAGTTTTTACTATTGTGAGGAGAGCTTCAATGAGCATCCTAACATACATTTCTTTGTTCACGTGTAGAGGTATTTTTGTAAGATAAATTCCTAGGTGTTGAACTGTTAGTTCAAGGGGCACACATATTTATACTTTGGAGAGTGATTGCCAAAATGGTCACTAAGATGTTTACCAGTTTACAAGGTAAGCCCTTATAAACACAGGTCCTCAAAATAAAATCAGAACCTGCATTTCAGAAACTAGAGTCTGTTCTTGTCAAGTTGGAAGTGGATTTATTTTCAAAGGAAAATAAGTGGGTCTGAGGGGAGACTTCTCGATCGGACTTTGCAGGGTAGGAAATAAAGAATGAGAAACAGAGGGCGTGGGGCCTCCAGTGCCGCGGCCCCCAGCCTCTCCTTAAGCTGTTACTCAAGGAGGCGCCACTTCCCCTGCTCCCCGGTGACCTCCTCTGAGAGCGAAAGGGGAGTGCCCCGTCCTCAGCGGTGGCACCAAGCTAGCCGCCTGCCAACACCCTCGGTGATCCCCACCTCCCTGGGCCACCATGTAAGAAACTGGGGCCCCTTTTTACCTCTGAAATTTCCTGTTTTTTTGTATGGAACACAAGGACAAAATGAGTTCCCGCGTAAATGGTTGGAATCTTGTTTTGAAAAAGTAGAGAGTGAGGGATTCATTGCTCTGCTCCAATTTCCATGTGGCCTTTGTTCCTCTGGCCCAGTTGACGGAGCTGGGGTTGCCCCCCTGCATCCTAATGAGG